GATGTTAGCTCAGGGCCAATCTTCCTCACACACACAAAAAAATTTTTGTTATTTCAACTAATGAGGCAGTGACTGTGTAGTGGCAAGACAGTAGGCCTAGTAATGAGAAGATCTGAGTTCTAGTTCTAGTTCTAAGACTATTTTTCTCTGGTTTATTAGTAAGTCACTTAGTCTTTCTGTGAGCTTCCATCCATAAAAGTGCATAATGAGACTTCTGCTCCAAACAAAATGGCATAGACTTGTCTCTCCTTGCTTCTCCCTGTTATGTACAACTATAAAAATACCCAGAAATAACACAAGAGACAATCAGGAGAATTCTGAAAGGTAGAAAGAGGAAGACAGTCTGGTGTGAGACCCAGAACTGGCAGGACAACACAGCAGCAGCATAAGGGGACCCAGGCTTGGTGTTTCTTGACCTCCAAGCTAGCAACAGAAGGTGGCCCAGGTAGGCTTATTCCTCTCCTTGATTGAGTGGGAGCCCTGCCAACAGTACCAGGTGAGCCCAGCAAAACTGGCAGGAAGGATTGGAAGCCCTACTGACAATAAGTCGCCACCAGGGGAGTGCTTTCCCACCCCTCCGTGGTGGGGAGGATTCCCATCACAACCAGCCTGGGCTGGGGAGCAGTCTTCATCTGTGAAGTTTAGAGGCTTCCGTCCGTACCAGAGGCACACCAGATGGCCTAGCCATGGCAACTCCTCCCACCCCTTCAAGCAGCGCTGGATGAGACCCTACTAAATTCCCACCTCAAGAAATTAGATAAAGAAGAGCAGAATAAACTCAAAGCATACAGAAGTAAGGAATCAAGATGAGAGCAGAAATCAATAACATTGAAAATAGAGAAAAATCAATGAAACAAAAAGCTGGTTGTTTGAAAAAAGTCAATAAAATTGATACATCTTTAGCAAGACTAACAAAACAAAAAAGACTAAAAAAAAAGAAGACACAAATTAGCAGCATCAGTAATGAAATAGTGGATATCACTACAGATTCTTCAGACTTTAAACGAGTAATAAGAGAATGCCGTGAACAACTTTACATTCATAAACTTGACAACTTAGAAGAAATGGGCCAATTCCTTGAAAACCACAAACTACAAAAGTCAGCCAAGATAAAATGATAACATGAATAGTTATATAGCCATTAAAGAAATTGAATTCATAATTTAAAAGCTCCCAAAAAAGAAATCTACAGGCCCAGATGGTTTTACTGGGGAATTCAAAGAGGAATTAACATTAATTTTATGGTTTCTTCCAGAAAACAGAAAAGGAGGCAACACTTCTCAGCTGATTTTATAAGGCCATTATTACCCTGATAGCCAAACAAGGCAAAGACAGTACAAACAAAGAAAAATACAAACCAGTATCTCTCATGAATTTAGATGAAAAAAATCTTCAACCCAATATTAGCAAATTCCACAATATGTAGAAAAGAAATATAAATGATGCCCAAATGGGCTTAATCCAGTTCTGCAAAGCTAGTTCAATATTGAGAGTCAGTCTGTAATCCACCATATCAACAAGCTAAAGAAGAAATAGCAGAACTATCATGTGATCATATTTTGTGGGTTTTGACACACACAAAAAATAAATCAGATGTCCATTCATGATAAAAACTCCCAAGTTAGGAGTAGAAGTGAACTATCTCTTGATAAAGAGCATCTACAACAAACTTACAGCTAACATCATATTTATAGTGAAAGGTTGAATGTTTTCCCTCTAAGATCCCAGCCAGCAAAGCTTTTTGTAGGCATAGACAAACTTACTCTGCAATTTATATGGAAAGGTACAGGCCCTAGAAGCTAATAAAACAATCTTGAAAAAGAAGCATAAAGTGGGAGGAATTATTCTACCCAGCATGAAGGCCTACTGTATAGCTGCAATAATCAAAATAGTGTGGTATTGTTGGAGGGATAAACACGTAAATAAATAGGACAGAACAAAGAATCCAGAAATAGACCCACACAAATATGCCCAGCTGTTATTTGACAAAGGTATAAAAGATTCCTCAATAGAAGAGCATTATTTTCAACAAATAATGCTAGAGCAATTGGACCCCCCAAAAAAATGAACCTCAACCTAAACCTTTTTATATAAAAATTTACTCAAAATGAATCACCAACTTAAATGTAAAACTATAAACCTTTTAAGAAGAAACATAGGAGAAAAATTTGAAACTCAGGATCAGCGAAGAGTTCTTAGACTTGACAACAAAAGCATGATCTGCACAAGGAAAAACTGGTAAATTAGACCTTGTCAAAATTAAAAACTTTTGCTCTGGAAGGACCTTATTAAGAGGATGGAAAAAACAAGCTACAAAGAGGGAGAAAATACTTTCAAACCCCATATTCGAAAGAGGGCTGGTATCTTGAATATATGAAAAACTCTCAAAACTCAACAGTAAAATAAACAATTCAATTAGAAGGGGTGAAGAGTGGCCGCTACACCGGCCCCGTGGTGTAGCAGTTGAATGCGCGCGCTCCACTGCTGGCGGCCTGGGTTCGGATCCCGGGCGCGCACCAATGCACCACTTGGCAAGCCATGCAGTGGCGTAGTCCCACATAAAGTGGAGGAAGATCGGCATGGATGTTAGCCCAGGGCCAGTCTTCCTCAGCAAAAAAAGAGGAGGAGTGGCAGATGTTAGCTCAGGGCTGATCTTCCTCACAAAAAAAAACGGGGAGGCAAAGACATGAACAGATAATTGACTAAAGAGGATATACAGATAACGAAGAAGCACACGAAGAGATGTTCAACATCATTAGCTATTAGGGAAATGTAAGTTAAAACCACAATGAGATACCACTATACACCTATTAGAATGGGTAAAGTTAAAACAGAAGAACAAATGTTGGCAAGCATGCAGAGAAACTGGATTGCTCATCCATTGCTGGTAGGAATATAAAATAGTGCGACCACTCTGGAAAACAGTTTAACAGTTTCTTATTAAACTAAATATTCAACTACTGTGACTCAGTAACTGTATTTTTGGGCATTTAACCCAGAGACATGAAAACTTATGTTCACACGAAAACCTGTACATGAACATTTCTAGCAGCTTTATGCATAATAGCCAAAAACTGGAGACACTCCAGATGTCCTTCAACAGATAAATGGTTAAACAAACTGGTACCTCCATACCATGAAATACCACTCAGCAAAAGAAGAGAACGAACTCTTGATGCAGGTAACGACTTGGATGAATATCCAGAGAATTATGTTTAGTCAGTAAAGTCGATCTCAAAAAGTTGCATGCTATATGATTCCATTTATATAACATTCTTGAAATCACATTATAGAAATGGAGAACAGATTAATGCGTTTGCCAGGAGTCAGACACAGGGGAGGGGGGACCAAGGGAGAAGGGTGTGGCTGTAAAAGGGCACCAGGGATCCTTGTGGCCATGGAAATGTTCTATATCTTGATTGTATCAATGTCAGTAGCCTGGCTGTGGTATTATATTATAGTTTTACAAAATGTTACCATTGGAGGAAACAAAGGGCACACAGGATCTCTGTTTATTTTTTACATTGCATGTGAAGCTACAGTTATTTCAAAATTAAAAGTTTAATTTTAAAAAAAGCGTAATGGGGGGCTGGCCCCGTGGTGTAGTGGTTAAGTGCGCGCTCCGCTGCTGGCAGCCTGGGTTCGGATCCCGGGCATGCACCAGTACACCGCTTGTCAGGCCATGCTGTGGCGGCATCCCATATAAAGTAGAGGAAGATGGGCACAGATGTTAGCTCAGGGCTGGTCTTCCTCAGCAAAAAAAATAATAATAATAAAAAAAAAGCGTAACGATACCTGCCCTTTCTGTACCCAAGAGTCTTTGTAAGTATGAAAGGAGGTGCAGCCTGGAATGAGCTGTGAGTGTCACGGTGGGCGCACGTGGTAGCAATGAGCCATACCTATCCATATGTTTGTTTTGACTAATATATTCAGTATTCCTACTCTACCTTATTCAAAAAGTATTTACAGTAGTTTTTATATATTGTTATCTTTAATAATAAAGTTCTTTATCTGTTCACCAAATATTTTGTGAGGGCTGTCTTAGTGCTGATCACCATACTGGGAATAAAGAAAAAGGGAAAAGAAGTATGATAGACTGAGTTCAGCCCCAGAATTTCCATTCCACGTGTAAATGGCGTTGATCATAGGGTGGATCTGGAGCTGGTATTTGTTTTTAAAGCTTTGTTTTTACTGTAATGTAATATTAATTCTTAATTTTAAGTTTCAGGAGATTCATAAAAGTTCTAATGTTTGGTTAGCTAGTGAACTTGGTTTTCAGTAATCAAGACGCTTTTTTTCCACATTTCACTATCAATTTGGAATGCATCTTACAATCAATGTTGATTCTTAGTTTAATTGGCAGCATTTTTTTTCTTGATAACATAAAAAAAATGGTGCATCTTACACTTAGTGGCATCTTAGGCTCAATGAGATCTGGTAATGTAATGTCTAAAACCAGCTGTTTTGCGATTTTCATCTGAATATTTTACCTGTCCTAATTTTATTAATAATTTTATTAAGCAGTTTTGGGGAGAGACTTTTTTTTTCCTTTCGGAGAACTGTTAACAATTTGAGGGTCTGGGCCGGCCCCGTGGCTTAGCAGTTAAGTGTGCGCACTCCGCTACTGGCGGCCCGGGTTCGGATCCTGGGTGCGCACCGACACACCGCTTCTCCGGCCATGCTGAGGCCGCCTCCCACATACAGCAACTAGAAGGATGTGCAACTACGACATAGAACTATCTACTGGGGCTTTGGGGAAAAAAAGGAGGAGGATTGGCAATAGATGTTAGCTCAGAGCTGGTCTTCCTCAGCAAAAAGAGGAGGATTAGCATGGATGTTAGCTCAGGGCTGATCTTCCTCACCAAAAAAAAAAAAAAAAAAAACAATTTGAGGGTCTGATGGTAAATTCTGTGACATTCCTTGGTAATAGTTTATTACATATACCCAAATGTTGAAACCTCATTTCTCCTCATCTTTTTTTTTTTTCTTTGCTTTTCAAGTGTCAATATACAGTATCTGGTTTTATGACAAGAATGACTGTCACCGCATAGCCAAACTCATGGCCGAGTAAGTATTTATATTGCTCCATAGATTTAATTAATGATATATGAGAGATGAAAAAATGACTTTTCTCCTTCTCTTTGTTACTAGAGTCTGCTAACTCATGTATTTCCCCCCTAATTTCCTGTTTATTGTCCAAAATTTGGAAAAGGCAGAAAAGCTTAAAGAAATCTAAAATTATCTATAATCCTACTACTCCCAGTGTTAGCATTTTAGTCTCTTTCCTTTCAATCTTTTTCTTTATGTGTGCATTGGGTTGATGTGTATGATTGTTTCTCACAAAAATAGGATCATACTGCACACCCTACTTTTCATGTCATCCGCATTTTTCCAGGGTGTTAATAGTCCTCTACAGTATTTCTAATGACTGCATTGTGTCCAGTCCAGCAGACAGATCATAATTTAACCAGAATCTTACTGTCAAACATTGGTTAGGGCCATCAGACTGCCTGCCTCCAGATGATATCGTCTACGTCCAGTGCACAGCCTAACCACCATATGCAGTGGGTCTGATTTAGGTTCTCTCCAGATTTCCCCTGTGACAAGTAGTACCATGTCCAGTAGCTGATAGAGAACTCCCCCGCACGTCCATGTTTACTTCCTTCAAGTGAGCTTATTTTTGACACCAATTCTACGTATAGTAGTCACCAATCCACTAAGGGATTGTGTTCTGGGAGATTTTTTTGTAAGTCATAGTCTTGGAATTTGGAAAGTAATTTTCATTGAATTAATGTTCTAAAGGGTGGATCATTGTCCTTTCTCAAGCTAGCCCACAGAAGCCACCCCTCATGTGGCTTATCTGTATTGCTGGTACTGCCAGTCTGGATTCTGGGTGCCCAAGACGCTATGGTGCTAGAGGGGCCTGAGGTGCTATACAGAGCTCTGGGCAAAAGCCTACAGTTAGCAGTGTATTCTGGTGCACTTAGGTTTCCTTTTCAATTTTTGCTTGAATCTCCTCAGAAGTGTGGACCTCTCTTCCCTCTCTGTCAAATCAGAATTCCCTTTGCTCTCCTATAAAGTTTTATCTACATGTTTGGAAGAAAACAATCTTAATTTTTTTTTACAGTCTAATTTTAAGCTAATTCTTGTAAAAGTGTAAATAAATCATTAATCCCCAAACCTCAGTTCCAGGTATATTTGCATTTTGAAAGAAGTGCACGTGGCTAAGGCCAGGTTTTAATCCAGGACTGCTGACTCGTCCTGACTGGGACTGGGTGTTTATCAGCCTCCTCCTTTATTTGCTCTGGCTGTGAGCTCGCAGGGCAGGCCATGTTGATTACTGTAGGCACCCCTGAGGACATTGTTCCATATGAACTTGTGTCATTCATATTTGAAAAAATGTTGGCTCTCTGGAACCACACTTTCTTTTTAGAATACCTTTTCTCTAAAAAAAGATAAAAACTACTTGTTTCAAGGCCAATTATTTGATGACTACTTTTTATATAGTTTTGAAAGTGACAGCAAAGGCAGCTTACTTCTGATTACTTAGAAGATGCAGATTTGTTGATTCTTGGTTATCCTGAAATCCGGAATATTTTTCTTAAGTGTCTAAGGTTTGAAATGTATTCATATATAGACTTCCTACTGCATACCAAGAGCTTTTGGGCCCCAGTTGAGAGAACCGGGTTCTTTTAGCTCTGACAGCTCTTCACAGAAACTATTTTGAGCTTTTTTTCTCTATCAGGCCAAGTGGTACCCCTAATGCAAGACTTCAGATGGTGTAAATGAAGCAGAGTACTGAAGGCCTACCTGAAGATATTGTATTGAATCCAAAAATAGGATGAGGAAGTAGAAACAGGAAGCAGAGAGGGAAAAGAAAAGCATTCAGGGTTCTTTCACTAGAAATGCCCAAAAGAGGGACATTTGCTTCAGCTTTCAGCTTGTTTTACTAGAAGCAAGGGAAGTACTGAAAGTAATTAAGGGAATGCCCTCGTGAAACAGTCGATAGTGATTTTTCAAGTGTCTGCCCTATTTATGGCTGAAGAGAATACCTTATATGTTAACATTAACTTTGTGATAAATGGCATTCCAGTCACCAAAGATAAAAAAGACTATCTTTCTTTGCTCTAATTTTGCCTGCGTACAGCCTCTGTTTGCTACATATTTTAGAATATCACTTCTGTTAACCAGAAATACAGGTAAAATTCTTTTAGGTGTATTGTGTGTCTAAATAAATGTGCCTGTCAGTGCCCATTCTGTTAAATTTAGTTCTTCCCATCATTGTTTTAACAGCTGTATTATAATAAAAATTCTCCGAGTAAAAAACTGATTTATTCCAAAAGATATTTATAAAAACTGAGAAGCTATGTAGGAGACCAAGCAACCTTCTAGACCTGTATTGTCTAAATTTGGAAATTCTCTTTGGTCAGTGGCAAAGTTGAAAATCCACTAAACCTGGAAAATGTTGACTCTCCTAAAGAGGAAGTGTAGTCTGCCAGAAACTATTTTTCACAATAAAAACTTGTTTGATTGCTACATAGAGTATAAAATTTGGAGAACTAATGGAAATGAGCTTTATTCCTGATAGTCTTCGGGGTATATTTGGGGGTTTGAGAGGAAGGGAGAGAGCCAAGGTACTCTTCACAGAGTTTGAATTGGAAGAGGCCTTAGAATCTAAGCCTCACTCATATGAGGGTCCCTTTTCACCACTCGATAGCTTCTGCTTTCAGTATTGGTGAGCTTTGTGAGGTGCCCTGTTCCATGGGTGAACAGTAGTGATGATTAGAAATTTTCTTCCTTTGAACCAAAATCACAAATCCAGTCTAGGTCAGGAGAGAGGTGAATACCAGCATGGGCAAGCCAGGCATCATGGCGGGAGGTAGGAAGAAACAGGCTGTGTGACCAGAGTCTTTGATGATGGTGGATTCAGGCCAGTGCAGCCTATAACTGTGTATTAAATAATGTCATTTTAGGGGCCGGCCCAGTGGCATAGTGGTTAAGTTTGTGCGCTCCGCTTCGGCAGCCCGGGGTTCACAGGTTCAGATCCCAGGCACGGACCAACACACCACTTACCAATCCATGCTGTGGCGGCGTCCCATGTAAAGTAAAGGAAGATGGGCACAGATGTTAGCTCAGGGCTAATCTTCCTCACCAAAAAAAAAAAAAAAAAAAGTCATTTTAAATAGTATTCCGTTTTTTCTGATGATTAAAGGAGTGCCTGTTAATTATGGAAAATGGAGAAAAGTACAAAAAAGAAAGTGAAATTGCTTGTAATCCACTATCAAGAAATAACCAATGTATATCTCTCCAGTCTTTTTTTCATTTGCAACAGGCCTCACAGTTGTGACAGAACAGTATTTCTTTCCCAAGAGTTGATTACCAGTATAGGTAGAAAAGAAACAATATTTATTCTAATTGGTCGATTCCTCATATCACATACTAGTCTTCTTTCAGTCTACCATAAATTCATGAGTCTGTGTTCCTTTTAGAAATAATAATCCTATTAAGAGCTATGAAAATCTAGAAAGAGAAATGACACCATTACCTTAAAGCAGCATTTTCCAAACAGGAATCCTGCCTCAGGAGAAGATCCTGTGTTCAAATAAATTTGGGAAAATCTATAAGCCCACCCTTCTTGGAGAATCATAATACATTTTATCATGTTAAAAACTCAGAATGAGGGGTGGGCCCAGTGGTGTAGGGGTTAAATTCGGTGCATCCAGCTTCGTTTGGCCCAGGTTCGCAGGTTGGGATCCCAAGCGTGGACCTACACCACTCAGCCACACTGTGGTGGCGACCCACACATAAAATAGAGGAGGATTGGCACAGATGTTAGCTCAGGGCTAATCTTTCTCAAGTGAAAAACGAGGAAGATTGGCAACAGGTGTTAGCTCAGGTGTTTTGCTAATCTTCCTCAGCAAAAAAAAGAAAAAAGAAACTCAGAATGAATCTGCTGCCTGAAAAAAATTATTTAATATTGTTTGACCCAATGTTTTCAAATAAAAGAACCAGCCCACACACACTAATGGGAGTTCCTGGGCAGGCTATTTTAAAGCAGTGAACTGACACTGAGTGGCCTATACTTGTCCTACTCCTCCTAGTCCATAAAAACAAACCATTTACTACTGAATTGTTTTATTGCCTGTCATCATCACTGTCTGGAAAGTTCTCAGTTAATACAATTATCAAGTTATTACTATGCCCATAATACATGTCCAGGTAGGCCTGTTTATTAAAGTTGGGATTGAAACCGGAGTGAATCTTAAAAAAAAAAAGAAGATTAGTTGCCTTATTAAAATTTGATATTTTTATTTCAAGCTTGAAGAAAAATATAAGAAACAATAAAATATCCATGTGCTTACCACCCAGCTTTCAATTCCTAACATTTTGCTGTAATTACTTCAGACCTTTATATATGGGGGAGAGGATGTTCTTAAGAAATGAAACCCCAGAGATAGATTTGTAGACCCCAACCCTATCAGTGGCATTCTTAACCATCAACTTTTCTTGCTTTATGTGTTTTCAGGTGCAGAATTAGCTTGAGCAATACCAATCAAAATAGAGAGCATTGCCACAATCACCCTGACCTCAGTCACACACTTAGTGATTTTTTAAGGAGAGAATAAGGGAAATCTTTTGTTTGCTTGCAGTGCTATCATTAACTTCTGAAGATTCATCAAGACCTCTTGTTTTCAAGAAGCTAATCTTTCCCTGTCCCTGCCAGCCCAGTGTCAGTACAGACTTTCCACAGGGGGTTGTTCAGCTATGCAGCTTTCCTTTGTCTTAGAAGCATTATCCATTTTCAAACTTACTTTACCAGTTAGTTTGACTGATTTTGAGGTACTTCAAAAAAAGAGAAAGATAATTTAGTAGAATTTTTAATGTACCTACTTCTACCAACTCTAGAAAGGAATTCTCTGTTTTTGTCCTTCTAACAGTGAAATACATTGATTGGCACTGTTGTGGATGAGGTGGTGAAGTGGTTAGTCATATAATTCTGGAATGAGGTAATCGAGGCTCTGTGTTTTGTATTGCAAGGACAGTGTTATCATGTGACATTCTTCCTGTGTCCTTGGAAGATGGACACCAAAAGAGTTCTTAGGTCAGATTGTGCCTAAAGAGATCTTTCTAAAATCTGGTTCTCCTCCTCTAGTGTTGTAGAAGAGGAGACACGGCGGTCCCAGCAAGCTGCTCGGGATAAGCAGAGTCCCAGCCAGGCCAATGGCTGCAGTGACCACAGGCCCATCGACATCCTGGAGATGCTAAGCAGAGCCAAGGATGAGTATGAGAGGGTGAGACTCAGCATGTTGACCCGGAGGACCAAAGGGGAAGAAGAGGCCTGCAGGGGGCTGGTGGACTGGGAAAGTCTCCTCCAGGGCCAGCAGAAATAATTAATCAAAAAGAAAACATGTTTTATACTTCCAAGCCTAAAAGATAAGGAAAGAATTTTGCCTACCTCAGAGTCCTTGCCTTGGCATGAAAATTTAGAATGCTCTTTTTCTATTTCTGTAAAATTACTATGGGAGAAAATGGTTTTGGAATATGGAAGTTACCCTGCAACAAGTAGATCTGGAAAAGCTTCATGCCTCTTCTTTACCCCTGCAGTCTCTGCTAGGTCTTAGGAATTTATGTCGTCTTTGAAAAGTAGTCTGATAATTTGCACCCCTTAATACTAAAGAGCATATTTATGGTCTGTAGGTGGTGGTAGGTGCACTGCCTCATTATACGTCATTTGGAATTTTACCCAAATGAGAGGTTTTTCTAGAATTCATTTTTTTGTTTCATATTTTAGTTTAAAAGTTAACTGATAATATTTTCTCCCCAAAGTTGAATAAAATGGAAGTTGTGGTGCATTCATTAATTTATTCAGTACATACTTATGAACTGTCCACTATGTGGCAAGCAGTGGTCTTCAGACCTTGTAGCTTTGGAACTGTCCTTTCTTTTCACTTGACATCAGCACTTCAGAGCCCCATGCTTCACTGGAGTGAAACTGAAGGTTTCCACCACTGGCACTTTGTTTCAGCAGAATTATAATTGTCACCTTACTCTTCATTAACACTGGGTTAACTACTTTCATTTCTTCTTTAGTCCTCACCTCACCAAAAGTTCAAGGAACAAGGTGTGAAGAACACTCTCTAAGACCATGTTTCCCAAAGAGTACTACTCTGACACTAGCCTCTACTCATTAACAGGTGATCCTTGAAAAAAGGTTCCAATTGGTCAAATGAGTTAAGGAAATATTGTCAGCATGGCTGTTCCTCCCCCATCCTTTGGGCTTTACAGTGCTCAAGACTCAGAGTTCCCACAGTAAATAAAACTAACACCAGTTTCCAGGTTGATTCGAGTACAGGACCATTTTTCACATACTACTCTTTAATGTCTCAAGAATCTAGAGTTCAGGGAACAAACTTTGGAAACAGTGGTCTGGGACGTGGTTTCCTCTAACTAAAAATGAAAGAGTCATGTTCACCACAAACTATGATAAACCTTCTACTTTCAAACACCAAAGGAAATCCCACTTCTTGGGTAGTGAAGTATACGTTGGAGCCCATGAGAAGTTTCAAGTTGTACCAAATTTCTCAGTGTCTCATAGAGAATTAGGAGGAATTTATGGATCCAAGAAAATTAATATAAGAAAAGCAGTCTTCTCTATAATGAGTTCACTGATTCTCAGGAAACTAGATAAGAATAAATTTCAAGAATCATTTTCTGAACTTTTAGGTTACCTTATATTCCCAAAATTCCCTCTCATATCCTTAGTGAAGTCTGGGTTATCTACATAGATGCCTTGTTCTGTTTTTATGGAGGCCTGTCTGTGTTCTGATAACAGGTAGCTAGTACGTCCAGCGCTCTGTTACCCGTTCCTAGTGATGACTAGATTAAGGTGCCACACGGGACAGAAAGCATAGGTGCTGCACGCTAGAGCAGACACTCCAAGAGGTGGCCTGGCTTACTCCTCAGGCTGAGAAACAGATAGCCACAAAATGACACAAAGCTGTAAAGGAACTCTAGGTCAAGCAGGCAATCTAAAACTCTGACGTGATTTTTAGTTAATATACATTGCAAAAGTAAGAATATGGAGAGCACAGTAATTACTGTTGTAAAGAAAATTCTTCCACGGTATGGAATAAATAAAATGTTGTCTATGGTTAGATTAAATCTTTTGGAATTTAATTAAATATGTGATACTTGCTCTATAACATATTCTTTCTTTTTTTGAAGACTGTCCGTAAACAGGTGGAGCTTCCTTAAACAACAGTTTTGTTTCTTGTCTATACTTGCCTATCATCTAACCAAATGGAGTTGGTATTAGCAGTGACCCATGAATTCCTATCTTCATGTTTGGATGGGCTCTCCTCAGCTGCCACATGGTTCCAGATGGCCCCTTTGTTTATCTTTAGGTAGAGACTCGGGGGATTGACAGTCCAGGGCAGAGGCGCAAACCTGGCCTCAGTGATGAGATTTAATCCCAATTCTAAATCTCCCCTGCCCAGTGTGTGTAATACAATGAGTGAAATTCCAGACTTTTGAGTGAGAGATTTATAATAGAGACTGTTTGAAAATAAAAACTCTCTATAGTAAACGTTTTCTCCCAAAGTCCTGTAGTTTGTTTTAACCACCTTTCCTATTTTTAGTGTAAAGAAAGATAGCTGAAACTAGTCCTTTACAGTTGGCCCATTCTGAGTTGCTTCTAGCTGCAGGATATAATCCTGGATTTTGGTTGTTTGTTTTGTTTTGTTTTAGTATAATTGCAAAAAACTTTTTAAACCTATGTTTTTTGTTATTCTTAAAAAATAGGAACACCGGGGCCGGCCCGGTGGGGCAAGCGGTTAAGTGCGCGCGCTCCGCTGCGGCGGCCTGGGGTTCGCCGGTTCGGATCCCGGGCATGCACCGATGCACCGCTTAGCAAGTCATGCCATGACGGTGTCCCATATAAAGTGGAGGAAGATGGGCACGGATGTTAGCCCAGGGCCAGTCTTCCTCAGCAAAAAAAAGAGGAGGATTGGCAGATGTTAACACAGGGCTGATCTCCTCAAAAAAAAAAAATAGGAACACCACTATTTTTCATATTATGTAAGTAGTACATATTAATTATAGAAAATTTTATATTTAAAAATTAAAAGAAAAAAACCATAAGTCCACCACCTAGAAATAAATCACTGCTAATACCTGGTTATGTATCCTTCTGAAAATATTTATAAATATGTCCCAATATATGTTAACTAGTTTTAGAAGTAGTTTTTATTAACTCTTTTTGTAATGTATTTTCTTTCTGAAGAACAATATGTTTTTATGATGGTAACTATTCGTCTCACAGGAAGTCCCTGTGAGATTTCATTTGGTAGAATGAAAAGTTTTTGAAAAAAAGAACTATGATGTTAGTAGCTGGATATTTTTCCTTGTGTCCCTTATATAAATAATACCCTAGATTGTTCTGACTCTTTCTATTAAGAACTCAGAAATATATCCTTGTAGCTAAGTCTTCATGTATAGCATTTTCTCTTAAGATAAGTTACTTGAAATGGAATTGGTAGATTGAAGGATTTTGGCATTTTTAAGGCTTTTAACCAAATATTATAAAATTACCCTCTGGAAAGTTTGTTTGTGATTGTTCATTTCCCCTAATCCTTACAAACACTGGAAACTGTCATTAACAAACTCAGAATAAACCTTCTAAGAATGGCCCTGCACAAATATAAAAAAATATTTGAAGTTCTGGAGACCTTTTAAAGTACCACCCATCTCATAGCTCATGTTGAGTTAAGTATTGCAGAGTCAAATGCCCCAAAACCACGTGGGCCGTGGTAGTGCCTACAACAGGCCAGCGTGGAACGGACGTGAACAGAGAGCTTGTCCCTATGTCAGAGGGTCAGTTGCAGCTCAGCTCCAGCCAGTTGTTGCCAAATGAGCCAGTGTAGCCAAATTATCCAGCTTCTCTCTGAAAATGACAAGCCAGAATTTTTATGTGAAAACTCAATTTTCAAAATGTTTCTGAACATTTTGTGCCTTCTGTTTTAAGAACTTGTTATGAACAATGTTTTTTTTTGTTTTGTTTTGTTTTTAAAGATTTTATTTATTTTATTTTTTCCCCCCAAAGCTCCAGTGGATAGTTGTATGTCGTAGCTGCACATCCTTCTAGTTGCTGTATGCGGGACTCGGCCTCAGGATGAACGGAGAAGTGGTGCCTCGATGCGCACCCGGGATCCGAACCCGGGCCACCAGCATCGCAGCGCGCGCACTTAACCACCAAGCCACAGGGCCGGCCCATGAACAATGTTTTGAGTTTATATTTTCTCTAATACAATTCAATTCCAAGCATTCTCCATAGTGTGTTGACACAGATTGATGGTGGTGTTGCACAAAGAGAGATGTTAGAAGATAAGATATTTCATAGGCTTTCACAGACTATTTCATCTTTGTTTAAATGGGCAACACTGAGTAAATGGTGTTCGGAAATAATATAAGGATTAAGTCATTTGAATAGAAAAAATGCATATTAGCCATTCATTTAACATTCAAGTACCTAATCCTATGCTAAGCACATATATTTATAGTATGATATCAAGAAAATTAATCTGTCTCTGGACTAAAGTTTAGGATTTTTATTTATTTACTTATTTTAATCTGGTCTCTTGAGTGTGCTAAACTGTATTTGGTGTCTGTTTTGACATTGATAATACTCACCAGATGCTGGAACAGTTAGCCAAAATATAACTTAAGTTTCTAAAAATTCAGAATTCCACATCCATCTAGTGATCATATTTTTAGGATTCTCTTTAAGAACAAAAGTATTTTCACTTCTAGTGTTATGTACAGGTTAATAGGAATTTTAAAACACTTGACTATTTTGTAATCTGTGATAGTAATGTATAGAGACCTTTTTAGTTTAATTTTTAAGAATATATGATGATTTCAACAAATGGTGTTGGAAACAATTGGCGTTTATATGCCAGAAAAAAATGAACCCCAACCTAAATGTAACACCTTTTACAAAAATCAGCTCAAAATGGATCATAGATCTAAATGTAAAACATAAAACTATAAAAATTTAGAAGAAAAATATATACTGTATGACCCCAGGAGTATCACTCCTAGGTGTTTAGTCTAGAGAAATGAAGCTTTTATCCACATAAAAACCTGTGCACAAATGTTCATAGAAGCTGGATTCACAGTCACCAAAAACTAGAAACAACTCAAATGTCCTCCTATGGGTGAATGGTTAACAAACTGTAATGCAGTCATACAGTGGAATACTACTCAGCAGTAAAAAGGAATGAACTATTAATATCACACAACAGCTTGGATGAATCTCAAATGCATTACACCAAGCGAAAGAAGCTAGCATTCCATTTTTTATGACATTCTTGAAAAGACAAAACTGTAGTGACAGAGAACAGATCACTAGTTTCCAGGAGTGGAGGAAGGGCGTCACTACAATGAGATAGCACAAGGGAGTGTTTGGGGAGTTGATAGAGCTATTTTACATCCTGATTGTGGTGATGGGTACACAGATATAACTGTACACCCCCCAAAAAGTTAATTTCACCATATGTTAACTTAAAATGGAAAAGAATATGTAATAACGTAGTACCTTTGGCTTTTCCTTAAAAGGGTTATAAAAATAATTGTTGCTGACACTATTGTCTAAAATCAAGTGCTCAACTTTCTAGAAATTTTATTATATAAATTAGTTGCATGAGGATGCAAAGCAAAACATTTGGGGGGATTTTTTTTGCTTGTTTTTTAAAAAGCGTTTCTGATAACCTTGAATGCTGTTTTGTGAGCCAGATAATAGCAAACTTTTTTACGTGATATGCTTTTCATTTTAATTTCAGAATCAGATGGGCGACTCCAATATCTCCAGCCCTGGGTTACAGCCGAGTACTCAGCTCTCCAATCTGGGAAGCACTGAGACTCTAGAAGAGACGCCGTCCGGGTCACAAGATAAGGTGGGTACAGCTGAAGCCCTAGCTTTGTCTGAGGTAGCAAAACAGAGAGTAACATTTTGTAAGGATTTTAATGCAGTACAAATTTAATTTGTCATTTATCTGTCAAGGGACGTACAGGTGGCAGCATAGTGACATCCGCTCATGTCGTTTCCCCTGGTCCATGTAACTGTCTTTCATCTGATTTTCTGGTTACTGTTTTTATTGCCACTCCCTTAACTATTCTTAACACAGCAGCCAGAGTAATCCTTGTAAAACATAAGTTAGATCCTGGCATTCCTCTGCTTAAAACTCTCCAGTGGTATCCCATCTCACTCAGATAAAAGCCATGGTCGTGGCAGTGGCCCAAAGGCCCTACCTGATTTGGCCTCCCTACCCCTGGCTTCATCTTCTACCTGTCTGCCTTGCTCACATGGCCCCAGCTCATTGGCTCTTGTGCCTTTCCACAAACATGCCAGACTTGCTCCTGCCTCGGGACAGGCCTTCGAACTCATAGTTTCCTTGGCCTGGAATACTCTCCTCCCAGATATAGCTTGCTCCCTTACTTCTGTCAGGTCTCAAGTGTCCTCCATATTGGTGAGGCTTCTCTGACCACCCTATTTTTAGATAACATTCTTTGTCTACCCCTATCTTTCTGTGCTTTATTTTCTCCCTAAGACTTCTACCCAGCTAATGTGGTATGTGGTTTTCTTATTTATTCATTGTGTCTCCTCGCACCAAAGTGCAAGCTCCCTTGGGGGCAGGCAGTTTTGTCTGCCTTGTTCATTGCTATATCCTCAGCATCTAGCATTGTAAATATTTGTTGACTGAATTAGTTCTCCTTGTAACTGATGGCTTGATAAATAAACAGATACTGAGTAAAACCCATAGTTTTTTAATTAAACTTCTTATTTTGAGGTAATTCAATTGTAAGAATAATGTAGTTATAACACGAAAAGATCCCGGGCCGGCCCTGTGGCTTAGCGGTTAAGTGTGCACGCTCCGCTACTGGCGGCCTGGGTTCGGATCCCAGGCGCGCACCGACGCACTGCTTCTCCGGCCATGCTGAGGCCGAGTCCCACATACACCAACTGGAGGGATGTGCAACTGTGACATACAACTATCTACTGGGGCTTTGGGGAAACAAAAAAAAGGAGGAGGATTGGCAATGGATGTTAGCTCAGAGCCGGTCTTCTTCGGCAAAAAGAGGAGGATTGGCAATGGATGTTGACTCAGAGCCGGTCTTCTTCGGCAAAAAGAGGAGGATTTGGCATGGATGTTAGCTCAGGGCTGATCTTCCTCACAAAAAAAAAAAAAAAGAAATAACACAAAAAGATCCCATGTACCTTTACCCATTTCCCCATTGATAACAGCTTGCAAAATATAGTGCACTATCACAACCAGGATATTGACACAATCTATCAATCTAGTTCACATTTCCTCTTATTTATTTGTATTCATTTGTGTGTGTATGTGCATGTATGTATTTAGCTCTATGCAATTTTATCTCACATATAGCTTTGTGTAGCCACCATTACAGTCAAGATACAGAAGACTTCTGTCACACGGATCCTTTGTGTTGCCCTTCTATTACTATACTGACTTCCTTACTTTACCCACTCCTCCCATCCTTAACCCTGGCAGCCACTAATCTGTCTCCAATTCTAGAATGTTGTCATTTCAGGGATGTTATATAAATGGAATCATACAATATATGACCTTTGGGATTGTCTTTCTTCACTCAGCATAATTCCTGGAGATTCATTGAAATTGTTTTGTTATCAATAGTTCATTCCCTTTTATTGCTGATTAGTATTTCATGATATAGAAGTACCACAATTTGTTTAACCATTCACCTCTTGAAAGACATCTGGGTTGTTTTCAGTTTTGGGCTGTTACAAATAAAGCTTTATGTACACTTGTGTGCAGGTTTTTGTACATAAATTTCCATTTCTCTGGGATAAATGCCCAAGAGTGTGAATGTTGGGTCATTTGATAATTGCATGTTTTCATTTAATAAGAAACTGCCGGGCCGGCCCCGTAGCTTAGCAGTTAAGTGTGCACGCTCCGCTGCTGGCGGCCCGGGGTTCGGATACCAGGTGCGCGCCGACACACCGCCTCTCCGGCCATGCTGAGGCTGCGTCCCACATACAGCAACTAGAAGGATGTGCAGCTATGACATACAACTATCTACTGGGGCTTTGGGGGGAAAAATAAATAAATAAGTCCTTTGAGTCAAATAAATTAAAAAAAAAAAAAAAAAAGAAACTGCCATACTGTTTTCCAAAGATGCTGTGCCATTTTACATTCCCATCAGCAATGTATCCATAATGTTTTTAGGTACTTAGTTGATAATTAATTTAAACCAGAGTTTGTATACTACATTCCTCTGCTCCATTTTTACTGTATTTGGATTTGGGATCCTAAAGATCAAACATATATTAAAAGCAGAGCTATATAAAATTTATTTATTTTCTTAAACAATTGATTTTTTTATTTATTTTTGAGGAAGATTGGCCCTGCGTTAACATGTGTTGCCAATCTTCCTCTTTTTCTTTTCTCTCCCCAAAGCCCCAGTACATAGTTGTATATCATAGTTGTGGAGTTGTAGCTGTTCTGTGTGGGACGCCGCCTCAGCATGGCTTGATGAGCAGTGAGTAGATCCGCACCCAGGATCCAAACTCGTGAACCCCAGGCCACAGAAGCGGAATGCGCGAACTTAACCACTATGCCACTGGGCCGGACCCTTAATTTTTTTTTAAATATATATTGAGAGAGGGAGGGAGGGAAGGAGCAAGGTCCCTAGATTCCTTCTGATCTGGTTTATCAGCCATGAGTGTTCAGTGGGCCACTCACTTCCCCTTTTTGAATTATGAGTCACTTCCCCTTTCCTTTCTGATTCATGGGGTTAAGAATTCTGGCACTTCCTGGGCTGGCCCCATGGCATAGCAGTTAAGTGTGCGCTCTCCACTGCTGGCGGCCTGGGTTCGGATCCCAGGCGCGCACCGACACACCACTTGTCAGGCCGTGCTGTGGCGGCGTCCCACATAAAGTGGAGGAAGACGGGCACGGATGTTACCTCAGGGCCAGTCTTCCACAGCAAAAAGAGGGGGATTGGCATGGATGTTAACTCAGGGCTAATCTTCCTCACAAAAAAAAAAAAAAAGGAAGAAAGAATTCTTGCACTTCCTAGCTCACAGAGTTACTGTGAGACCCAAATGAAGAAAAGGACCCAAAAAATGTCTTAAGAACCATAAAACACTGTCCACTGAAAGATGGAAGATGAGTGTGATAAGCCGTAGATGCTCAGCCTTTCAACAAAAGCACCAGTGATGGATCTGTGGACATACAGAATTCAAGTTGGAGACTTGTACCTTTTAATGTGAATAATGCTGATATTGTTATTCCTTCATTTTTCACATACTTTTAAAATTCCATTTTATAGGCCAGAGTGACAAACCTTTGTAAAATATTGAGATCTGAAAATTGTCAGAAGCCATGTGATTCAGTAAAATTACCTTAAATCGATAACAGCCCCTACACACAGGTAGTACATTTGTTTAGTAACACTGCCATCTAGTGCTGAGGAGCAAATAATGCTGTCAAGTCTTAATAATATTAAATTCCATTTCAGTTTCATAATTCATTTATTAAAATTCCCTTGGGACTATTTCCCTAATTTGTTTAGTATTGTTTTTTGGTTCCTGTGATTAAGAATAATGCGTACCAGGCTGGCCCCATGGCTTAGCGGTTAAGTGCGCACGCTCCGCTGCTGGCAGCCCGGGTTTGGATCCCGGGCGCGCACCAAC